GCCTCTTGCACACACCCTACTGGGGATGTGCCCGCAATCAAGGTAAATGCCCTTAATTGGAATTGAACCTGGAACCTTTCAGTCCGCAGGTCGCAGGTCGACGCTCTATCCACTGAGCCAAATCTGTTTTGGCAGTTTTTAGAAGATTCTTGAGTAGCCTTATAAATGTGGTTTTGAACTCTATGTCATCCCATAGTTTGCTTTCCTCCCATTTCTTTCATTTGTGACATGTTTCTGTGTCTCCGCATTTTGGCTGCTTCCCTGTGTTGATGAAGCTGCTTTGAGGTAGGTGACCTATAGGGGCCAGTAGCTCAGCTTTCCCAATCACCTGAGGTGGATGGTCTTATTACACCCCTTTGTAGGCTGAGTGCAAAGTCTTGGTGTAGTTAAGCCTTGATTGCTGTTGGCACACTGGGAGGAATTGATCTCCAGGCCAATTGGCTGTGAGGACCCGCAGTGTTTATAATGGAAGAACTGCTGCGCTGGAGACATGCTTGTGGTGCAGGCCTTGTTTCAGGGGGGCTTTGGTGCTCACTGAGTCCGCCTCTTGAATGTGTCACTTATGGATGTGAGGAGTTGAAATCTGTGTCTCACTAGGTACACTAGCTTCTGGCTCTCCAATGGGGTGCAGTTCAGCTACCGTCTGAGGCCACCCTGTAGGAGCTATAGCAAGAATTACAGTCCTGTCCTCCCTGCATGGGATCTGTAGGTTATGGAGCTGTCTGAATCTGTTTGCGAGTTTGCTAGGTTAAGTGGAGATAGCGAAGGCCATTCATATGCAAAAGCCGCTGTTTGGAGCTTGGGTGAGTTTGTAAGTTGTGCGGGGCGGGGGTCTCAGGGCATCACTTGGCTAAGGCGTGGCAAACAGCAATGGCTGGTAGCCCACTGTTCTGACTGCGTCCCTGTGTCTCGCATCCCAGCGCTGCAAACAATTATTCTTGCATGCAGCTCTGCAAGCAAGCTACTCTCCCTTTCCGCCCCAATGGCAGACAGTCCACCTTCTTCCCATAAGAGTTTGGTTCCCCCTCACCTCCCCAGAAACTGGGTTTCAGAGAAATCAAGAGCTTTTTCCCCTTCGGATTGAAGAAAGCAATGCCTGCCACCAGCCGGGATCTGCCGCCAGCCATATCGCGAGCACCCCCATGCCTCGGCTTTTCAGCGTTTGTGCCCTGAATGCTCCCCTCTCTTTCCATCTGGTTGTAGAACTTTCACTTAGCCAGCCCTCTTGTGGTTCTGGGTGATAGACATTATGTCTTTTAGTTGTAGTTTTGAAATTGTTGTGCACTGTGGCAGTTTAGGTGTTTACCTATGCCACCATCTTGGGTTCTCTCTACTGACCTAAACTCTCGATTCCAATAATTACAGGCTGTTGTTCCTTGTGCTTAAGCCCCTAGCCCAGTGGTCGGCAAACTCATTAGTCAACAGAGCGGCAAACCTCGGCTCTTTAAACTCTTGAACCGCAGTTTGCCGACCACTACTCTAGCTGATTTGGCTGAATGGATAGAGCGTCAGCCTGTGGACTGAAGGGTCCCGGGTTCAATTCCAGGCAAGATCACATGCCTGGGTTGAGGGCTCAGTTCCCCAGAAAGGGGAATGCAGGAGGCAGCTGATCAATGATTGGCATCATTGATGTTTCTCTCCCTCTTTCTCTCTCTTCCCCTCCCTTCATCTCCCTCTCTCTTCTCTCTGAAATCAGTGTGTGTGTGTGTGTGTGTGTGTGTGTGTGTGTGTGTGTGTGTGTGTTTAATAGAATGGTACTTTTTCCTTTATACCTTCAGTACTCTCTGGGGCTGTATTTTGGCTCAGTATTGGCAGCCACCTGCCATTTACATTCCTCTTTTAATTGAATGGCAGGTTCATACTGCAGGGTTGCATCCAAATCATGGAATAATTTCATAGTTTTAGAACTGTGTTCAGGGTTGTGAGCAGATTTAACTGCTCTGTATTTATTTTGAGATTTCTGTGCTTTGCCCGGCACTGTTGCCAATCTCTGTGTACTTCCAGGGCTTCCAGCCTTTTAGCAACATTTCGAAGTAAACTCTCCATAAGATTGTTTTTGTATATTTTCTTTCTGCCCGGACATTTAGCAAAGCTAAACTCTTCCTCAGCCCAGTATTTTCCTGCTCCTCTCTCCATGTTGAAAATGACCTGGAAATGATACGCTTTTTCTAGCCATGGTTTTGTTTTCAAGGTAATAAACTCCTTTGTCAATAAGCTCCAAAAGAGCTGCAATGATCTAGTTTAACTGGTTCAAACTGCCTGAGGGGAGTAACTTAAGAAACTGCAATAAACAGGCTTTGTAATAAAAGATGCCAGGACCTAAATGATTCCAAACATTATTCATTTCAGCTGTTAGGGAAAAATTACCCTTGAGACAAAAGGGAAGGGAACCATTTAAAAACAAAAAAATTTGTTTAAAGATTTATCTTCTTACGTAATTTAATCTGGTTCACTAAATGATTATTGATTTTTTTTAAAAATTGTGGTTGGCAGAGGTCCTTTCTGCCCTAAGGTTTATGGCTAAGCTTATTTCCTTTTCTTCTGATATGAATCTATTAGTCTTCTAGCAACATAACTTAAAGACCACTACAGGAAGAAATCTTAAGTCATAAATTATTCAGTATGTTAAGGTATATAATCTTATGCATATCTATTTTCAGCATAGTATTTCATGCATTGATAATTTAGTAAAATAATTTCAATTTTAAATTTTTAGATTTTTTTTTATTTTGCAAGTACATTTGTAGTTTTGTTATTAAGATGCCTTAACAATTACAGTATATAATTGTGAAAAAGATTTATTTTACCAAATAAATTAATGTATATATAAATGTATAGTAGATATTTCCTTTTATTTCTACACTAATATATATTCTCTAGAAAAAATTTTTGTTAATAAACGTCTAGTACGTAGAGCTCTTGTTGAGAATCATTAAACATTGTTGGGCAGCTGAAACCGGTTTGGCTCAGTGGATAGAGCATTGGCCTGCAGACTGAAAGGTCACAGGTTCGATTCCTGTCAAGGGCATGTACATTGTTGATTGCAGGCACATCCCTGGTAGGGGTTGTGCAGGAGGCAGCTGGTCGATTATCAGTTTCTAGCTTTCTTTCTTCTTTTTTTTTTCCCCCCATATATTTTATTGATTTTTCACAGAGAGGAAGGGAGAGGGATAGAGAGCTAGAAACAGCTCTAGCTTTCTTTTTTTTTTAAGTATATTTTATTGATTTTTTTCACAGAGAGGAAGGGAGAGGGATAGAGAGCTAGAAACATCGATGAGAGAGAATCATCGATTAGCTGCCTTCTGCACAACCCCTACCAGGGATGTGCCTGCAATCAACAATGTACATGCCCTTGACCGGAATCGAACCTGGGACCTTTCAGTCTGCAGACCGACGCTCTATCCACTGATCTAAACCAGTTTCTGTTTCTAGCTTTCTATCCCTCTCCTTTCCTCTCTGTAAAATATCAATAAAATATAAATTTTTTAAAATTGTTGAGCAATTAGAAGCTTTATTTAAAAATTTTTTTTAAATATATTTTTATTGACTTTAGAGAGGGAGTTAAAGGGGGAGAGAGAGAGAGATAGAAACATAATTGATGAGAATCATTGATCCCCTGCCCCCTTTATATCCCTTCCCCCTGGGGATTGAGCCCTCTACCTGGGCATGTACCCTGACGAGGAATCAAATGGTGGCCTCCTTATCAAGTTAAAAATTAGAGTGCTATATTTGGTCAGACATTTAATTAACTCACCCTTAGCGCCATGGCAAGGCCAGACCACATAATTTCTTGGTCCTTATGCGGCCCGGGCACCGCATGTTTACCATGTGACACCCTAACTCTGGGCTAGGTTTTGGCTTTTTTTTTTTTTTTTCTTAATATATTTTATTTATTTTTTACAGAGAGGAAGAGAGAGTTAGAAACATCGCTGTGAGAGAAACATCAATCAGCTGCTTCCTGCACACCTCCTACTGGGGATGTGCCCACAACCAAGGTACATGCCCTTGACTGGAATCGAACCTGGGACCCTTCAGTCCACAGGCCAATGCCACTGAATAGGCCTTGGCTAGGTTTTGGCTTTTATGTATCATCACCCAAAAATACTAATGCAGGAAATGAGATTCAGATTGCCTGGTAAGTGTAGGGTTTTAAAAAACATTTATGTTTTTCTAATAACAAAGGTGTTATTTGTTAAGAGAAAATTTGGAAAGTGCAGGAAAGCAAAATCAAAATTAATAAGTTTTGTTGTAATCCCAATACCACAACTAAGCACTTTACCTGCTGTGTTATTTGGAAGTTTTAAATTATATCTATAAACGCATCTACACTCAACCTTATGTAGAGATCATGCAGAACAGAGGTTAGAAGCACAAGCACTGGAGTCGGAGTGTCTGTTCTGCTCCTGGCTGTGCCACCGCTTTCTTTGTGCATTGGGCATGTTATTTAACTCCTGTTTCTTTAGTGTCCTCATCTGTAAAATGGAAATGGTAAACACAGTATCTACTTTGTAGTATTATTGTGAAAGTCTAATAAGTTAGGTCATTCATATAAGTGCTTAGGACAGTGCCTGGCATGTTAGTAGTCAGACAATATCATGTTACTGATAATCACTGTCATCATTGTCATGAATAGAACTAGGAGCAGTTTAAAAATATATATATATATATTTATTGATTTTAGACAGGAAGGGAGAAGAAGAGAGTGATAAGAAACATCAATGGTAAGAGAGAACCATTGATCAGTTGCCTTCTGCTCATCCCATACTGGGGGATTGAGCTCGCAACCTGGGCATGTGCCCTGACTGGGAATCGAACAGTGACCTCCTGGTTCATGGGGTCAATGCTCAACCACTGAGCCATGCCGGACGGGCAGTACTAATAGCATTTAATGTGTTGTCAGACTGACTTCATCAATTCTTTGTGGAAAGGATGTTTCATAAAGTTTGCTAACCTTATCAATGGGGCGAATTTAAGTTGATACTTTTTTTTTATATTCACAGGGGTCAGGAGAGTGCTGGTATTGTCACCAGTGATGGGAATTCAGTACCAACATACAGAACACACAAGGTATATTTAAACATTAAAAAAGCTGACTATAAAGGTAACAGTAGCTAGATAATAACTAGTATATGGGGGTGGGAGAAGGAAATTTGAATAAATAATTTGCACATAGAAATTATTCTTTATATCAACCATTTCTATTTGTCAACTTAGGATGCATTTCCTTTCCCAGTGATAGTTTGCTAGACTGTCACAAACAGGTCATATATTTAAATACTTTATGATGCTTTGAATTTTTAAAATGCAAGTAATTTAGTTTATTATATTTGACTTTTATTATTTAATAACAGCTGTCCTTCAATGTTTCAACAAAAAGTATCTCATAAAACAAGCATTTTGACATTGTGAATGTATTAAATGCCACTGAATGGTTTTCTTTATAGTGGTTAGTTTATTATGTGAATTCCACTTCAAAAAAAAATTGTTAGTGCTTCACGGTTCTTGTAATTAGGTTAGTCGAGTGGTCGGCAAACTCATTAGTCAGGAGAGCCAAATATCAATAGTACAACAATTGAAATTTGTTTTGAGAGCCAAATTTTTTTAATCTTAAACTTCTTCTACTGCCACTTCTTCAAAATAGACTTGTCCAGGCCGTGGTATTTTGTGGAAGAGCCTCACTCAAGGGGCCAAAGAGTCGCATGTGGCTCACAAGCCTTAGTTTGCCGACCACAAAGTTGGTCTATTTTTAAGATTAGAATTCCATAGCACGGAGAAATTAAGTGAATTGCATTGTCTAATTTGGGAGAGGCTTATTAAAGCCTCTACTCACTAGCCCAATAGTTTGTTTTTGTGTTTTTTTCTAAGATGAGCTTTTACTTTGACTTTGCAAGGGAATGGGTCTTATAAATCATGTCTTTACTGAAGACAAATTGAAGAAATTATATCCTTCAAATCTTGGAATTGGACATACGAGGTATGCCACCACAGGAAACTCTGAATTAGAAAACTGTCAGCCCTTTGTTGTTGAAACACTTCATGGAAAAATAGCTGTGGCACATAATGGCGAATTGGTCAATGCTGCCAGATTAAGGAAAAAGGTACGTTTTTTAAAAAAAAAAAAACGCTTTTTCATGATTGGGGTAAATTAATAAAAAGAAGTTATTGTGGATCTTGGTAAAGAGTGTTTTCTAATTTCTGCCATCCATTACCTAACTTTAAAGAATACCTGTCAGAATTACCTGGAGTTCTTGCTATAATTATAGATTCCAAGACACCTCCTCAGAGCCTGGGGTGGGGGTGATGAGCCTGCATTTAAAAGCTCCTAAAGAGATTCTGATGTGCTGCCTTAGAGATTTGGAAAATTTGATTTTTAGCTGGTATCAGAAGCACAGAGAAATTAGGGTTTATGGACTCTTACTATCACTTTAGTTTTGTCTTTGTGTTAAAAGCATAAGAAGAAAATGGAATATAAACTTTCATATGATAAATATAACAAAAAGAGATTTGGAAACAATTATAGGAAACAGCCTGAGAAAAGTACAGAGAGAATTATATTGTTTTGTTCATATGGCAGTTTTTGAAGCTTTCTGTTTTAACTGTGCCTGTTCCTTCATTCATCATTTCATCTCCCTCTCCCCCCTTTTCTAAAAGTACCTAGTATTTTTATACTCCTGGTAGTTTCATATTCATCCATCCTTACCATTCATTCATTAATGCTAGATTTCTTTAGTTCATTAGATTCCAATAATCTTGATTTGGTAATCTTATCTAATAAAGCGGGAATAGCTAATTGACCCTCACACCTCACAAAGATGGCAGCTCCTACAGACAATAAGGAGGGAATATGCAACCAGGTTGGTGGGGGAGGGCAGTTAGGGCCAACCCTGTCAGTGGGGATAGGGGATAGTTGGGTGTAACCAGGCCGGCAGGCAAAGGCAGTTAGGGACAATCAGGCAGGCAGGCAGGTGAGCAGTTAGGAGCCAGTGATTCCTATTGTGAGAGGGATGTCCCCCTGAGGTGTCCCAGATCTGAGAGGGTGCAGGCTGGGCTGAGGGCTCCCCATCCCTGTGCACGAATTTCGTGTACCGGGCCTCTAGTACCAGAAATAACCTCAATGGGTATTTAATAATAGGTTACACACACACACACACACACACACACACACACACACGCATATACAAACACTTATACACACTCTAACACTCTATTATCTCCTTAGAAGTAGGCATTCATATGGTATAAATAGTTATAGCAACTGAATGATGGTGAATTGTGAGTGGAAAATATATAGAACCCACTTTTCTGTACCAACTGCCCTACTATTTTTTATTTTAGCTTAAGTTATTCCCCAGAGCGTTGTCCTTCCTGCCCTCTTCTCAGGCTCTTGCATTTCATATAAAAATAATATGTGTGCTTTTGTGTTCCCAAATTTTAAAATGTTTTAATTCAGAAAATCAGGAAAGTATAAATGTTTACTTAAAAACCCTTGAAGGTGAACACTCACAGGTCAATTCAATACTTGGGTCATTATTGCTAGCTAGACATAACCCTAAAATCCCGCAGCCCAGATGCTGGGCTTCATCTCTGCACGATGAGTTGTGAAAAAGTTCTGTAGTATTTGTATAAACTCAGCTTTGTGTTACATTGGTGAGGTTCTTGTCCTGGTCAGTCTTTCTCAGAATATCATGATCATCATAGAGTGAACTCAACCAATTTTTATACATCTTCTACATGTAACTGTTCAGTACAGTTGATTCTTTTCTTCTATTCTATCCGTGATAATCAGTGAGCCAACAAACCTGGCTTGAGAGTCCCCACTATAGTGTGCCAGTCTTATGAGAATGTGTCCTATTTGCCAGGAGTGTCAGGGGCTGAGAAAGTTACTACCACATTCCCAAATCTTATGCCTTCCCAGCCCATTTTGCAGCTCTACCTTCCTTCAAACTTCAAGTGTTCAAAAGCTTTTTATATACACTTCCTAAAGCTCTTTTTTTCTGCTTGAAAACCTTCAGAGACTTCCAGTTGCATCCAGCATTTGTTCTCTATTATCAGATACACATACCGTTAGTAGAAGGCAGGGTCTCCATAACAGGTCATCCACACAGTTCCGTATCTCTTCCTGTAATGGGGGGCTATGGCTGAGGGGTGCAGCCGATCTTCCTCTGTAATGATTGCTCTTTTCTGCCTTCTAACTAGCTTTTGCGCCATGGTATTGGTCTGTCAACAAGTTCTGATAGTGAAATGATTACCCAGTTACTGGCATATACCCCTCCTCAGGAACAAGATGATACTCCAGACTGGGTAGCAAGGTAACTAAATTTAAGCTTGCTGTTCTGATAATGAAGGCTTTGCCTAGCAAGTTTTTATAAATGAAATTATTTAATCAATTCTAGGATTAAAAACTTAATGAAGGAAGCGCCCACGGCATACTCCCTACTTATAATGCACAGAGATGTTATCTATGCAGTCCGGGATTCTTATGGAAATCGCCCTCTCTGCATTGGTCGACTTATTCCTGTATCTGATATGAAAAATAAAGGTAATGAACTTCCAGAAGGAATATAATTTCATTGTTCTGTTGGCACACCTTGAAATCATTTGATATATAGGAAGCTTATGAGTGAAGAGGGAGTAGGTGAAAAAGAAAGAAATGATAATTATTTTTTAAAGTGCATTTCCTTGAGTATTTCTGAGGATGAACCACTTTTTAATATTTAAGGGACATTCCTATTTTTAATTTTCTGAATTGCCTAATCATGTCCTTTGCCCAATTTTTTTATTTCTTAAATATACTTTTATTGATTTCGGAGAGGAAAAGAGAGGGAAAGAGAGATAGAAACATTAATGATGGGAATTATTGATCGGCTACTTCCTGCATGTCCCTCACTGGGATCAAGCCAACAACCTGGGCATGTGCCTTTGACAGGAATCGAACCTGGGACCTTTCAGTCTGCAGGCTGACACTCTATCCACTGAGCCAAATCGGCTAGGGCTCCTTTGCCTAATTTTTTCATTTGTATAGTATGTGATTTTGTTATTAGATGTCTTGTTTGAGCCATGAAATCATAATGCTTGGAGGAATCTTGGGATCGTTAATGTTTTTAAAAATCCTCCCCTGAGGATATGTTTATTGATTTTAGAGAGAGAGGAAAGGAAAGAAAGGAAGGGGGGTAGTGAGAGAGAGAGAGACAGACATTGACATCAATGTGAGAGGAAAGCATCCATCAGTTGCCTCCTGCATGCACCCTGACAGGGAATCAAACCAGATTTTCTGGGTATGGGACGAAGCTTTAACCAACTGAGCCATGGGGCCAGAGCTTGGGATCATTAAATTTTATCTTCGGACCTAGTCAAATGAAGACCCATGTGCATATAAATGGATATTCTATGGATTTTTAAAATTATTTATCTACTTGGTGTTTAATTGTTTTGAAATAGGTAGCCTCTTTTAACATTTCTTAAGTCCATTAACTGAATTGATTATCTTGTGATTTACAGAGAAAAAATCTTTAGAATCAGAAGGATGGGTGGTGTCTTCAGAATCTTGTAGTTTTTTATCTATTGGTGCAAGGTAAGTTTTATCTTAGTATGTTGGGTTTTCCCACATCAACAAAAATTCTTATTTTCACATAAGTTTTCTTTTTGATGTCACCTATAACATATACTTATAAATGCAGGGGGTTTTGTGCATAGTTCTACGCAGTTACATTGGTTTTAAAGTCCCAGTAATACTTTGTAATTCTGAAACTACAATCCTGCTTTCAAAACGTCATGAGACTTATTTTAGAAAGGAAGAATTCTCCTAAGAAATAATTATGTTAAAAAAAATTTAAGCCAGGATAAAAATATTCTTTTAGCTGTTATTCTTTCAAAAATCAATAAAACTTATGGTCTTTTCTCTTTTTTAATTCGGAGTTAGAATTTAGGGGTAACAGATTTACAGATATTACTGCTGGAGGAATATTGTTTATTTTTTTTTTTGCCATCTCTAGACTTTATATTAAGTAGAATTATTTTTCCGTTATAAGGGAAGAGACTACTAGTCAGCCTTAAGGACTAGTTTATTTAAAGTCTTCTTTCTTTAACACGATTTTCTAAGGTATTACCGTGAAATCTTGCCTGGAGAAATTGTGGAAATATCCAGGAACAATGTCCAAACTCTTGATATTATATCAAGGTCTGAAGGAAGCCCAATGGCTTTTTGTATCTTCGAATATGTTTATTTTGCAAGACCAGATAGCATATTTGAGGGTAAGTAAAATATCTTTATCAATATAAATCTGGTATTTATCTCATTGCACAAAGGCATACACGTACTTGGCTCTTTGAAGGCACAAAGTTGTATGTTGTGGATATGGCACTGAGCCTAATCGCCATAAGAGCACAATTTTGTCTTTTAATCTGACTCTTGGATGTTGTTTTCCTCTCAGGAGTTAGGATTATGATTTTCAGATATGCATGAAAGTCATTTTTAAAAAATAGTGAATTCCCCAGTTTATGTATTTCCACTTTAGGGTTTTTGTATGTCCTGATTTTTGTTTTTTTTTAATATTCAATCTATAGAGTTCTAACAAGCTAGTTTCTTAGATATTATACTGTTATACTATGTAAAAATAATTATTTTCTTTTCAAACATTCCAGACCAAATGGTTTACACAGTAAGATTCCGTTGTGGTCAGCAGCTGGCAATTGAAGCACCTGTGGATGCAGATTTGGTTAGCACTGTCCCAGAATCTGCTACGCCCGCTGCTCTTGGTTATGCTGGAAAGGTATTTTCTTAACACTCAGTGAATTGTCCTTTTAGCTCTGGAATTAGAAATCCTTCCCTATAAAGAGAAACTCATTAACCAAGCAATGTGGCCCATTTGGTTGAGCATAAATCATTCTATGCACCGAAAGGTCACTGGTTCAAATCCCTGTCAGGGCACCCATGCCTGGTTGTTAGCGCTGCCCCCAATAGAGGGCTGCAGGAAGCAGCTGAACGATGATGTTTCTCTCTCCCTCTCAGATCAATAAAAACATCTTTAAATAATAAAATCAAAAGAGAAACTCATTAGTTTATTGTAAGTAAAAAAGAACAAAAAAATGTTAGTTTCTTTACAAGTTACTTATTTCCCAGCCTTTTCATTCCATGGTACTATTTTAGTGGAGCCCACACAAACCTTCACCTGAAGACTAGGAGAATGATCTTCATTTCAAAAAAAATAATGTCATGGATATATAGAGACATTTGTGGTAATATTTACTTATTTTTATAACCTACTTCTTGAAGTACCATCACAAGCCACTGGTATATTCATTTTTTATTGAGCATAGGTGGTAATAAAGCTATTTATATTTATTTTGTATACTGTTCTTAGTATTATGCTTAATTTCATATTTTTCATAACTAGGTAGATTGTAAACATTACTAGAGGCCTGATGCATGAAATTCGTGCAAGAGTAGGCCTTCCTGCCAAAACCGGTTTGGCTCAGTGGGAGAGCGTCGGTCTGCGGACTGGAAGGTCCCGGGTTTGATTCCGGTCAGGGGCATGTACATTGGTTGCGGACATATCCCCGGTGGGGGGTGTGCAGGAGGCAGCTGGTCGATGTTTCTCTCTCATCGACGTTTCTAGCTCTCTATCCCTCTCTCCTCCTCTCTAAAAAAATCAATAAAATATATTAAAAGGGTAATTACTTAAAAAAAAAAAAAAAAGTAGGCCTTCCTTCCCTTGACTGCTGGCACCAGCTTCCCTCTGGTTCCTAGGACCCAGGCTTCCCTTGTCGCCCAGCTTCATCCAGAAGGTTGTTCAGTCTAATTAGCATATTACGCTTTTATTATTATAGATAGTGGTTCTGGGACATTCACTATGTTGGAAAGCTTAATTTATTGATTTCTTAAAAGAAATAATGTGCACAGATTTTAGAGAAGTATTGCCTGAAAGATGAATAAATGCTGCGAAAAATGTTTCCTTAACCTATTTGTGTTAATTTCTTTCTGATAATTTGCAAATATGATAGTTTTTCTGACTGATTCATTCTTTGACATGTCTTTGACATGTCATTACTTTTATTAGGTAGGATTATTTTGGAAGAGAACACATGCTTAGTGTTCTCTTCCAAAATAATCCTACCTAATAAAAGTAATATGCAAATTAACTATCACTCCGCTCCACAAGTCATGCCCACCAGCCAATCAGAGCGAGTATGCAAATAAACCTAACTAAGATGGCTGCAGCCACAGAGAGCAGGAGGGAGGCGTTTCCCTGGCAATGGAGGAAGCCAAGCTTTCCGCATGCCCTTGCAGGCCTAAGCCTCCACTCAAGGCTACATAGTTTCAATTATGGAAGGTAAACAAATCCAAACAGAAATGGTGGCAGCCACTGAGCAAACAGGAGATTTAACTTTCAATTGTAGAAAGTAAATATATTCCAGATACCAGGGCCTCCGCTTGGGTCGTTGTGGGTGTGTGGCTGGCCTGCAAACCACCACAGGCCCCTTGCTCAGGCTGCCCCATACCCCAAGGGAACCCCCACCTTGATCCGGGATACCCTTCAGGGCAAACCAACTGGTCCCCACCCATGCCCCAGGCTTCTATCCTATCTATAATAATAAAAAAATAATATGCAGATTGACTGTAACTACAACACACAATATGGCTGCCTCCATGTGGTCAAAGATCTTGCCCCTATGTGGACACAAGATGGCCAGCAGGGAAGGGGAATTGGGAGGGACCAGGCCTGCAAGGGAGGGCAGTTGTGGGTGATCAGGCAAGTAGGGGAGGGCAGTTGGGAGGCACCAGGCCTGCAAGGGAGGGCTGTTGAGAGGGACTAGGCCTGCAAGGGAGGGCAGTTGAAGGTGATCAACCCTGCAGGGGAGGGCAGTTAGGGGTGACCAGGCTGGCAGAGGAGGGATGTTGGGGGCAAACAGGCTGGCAGGGGAGCAGTTAGACATCAATCAGGCTGGCATGGGAGTGGTTAGGGGGTGATCAGGCTGGCAGACAGAAGCGGTTAGGGGTAATTAGGAGGCAGGCAGGTGAGCAGTTGGGAGCCAGCAGTCCTGGATTGTGAGAGGGATGTCCAACTGCCCTTGAGGGATCCCAGATTGGAGAGGGTGCAGGCTGGGCTGAGGGACAACCCCACACACACCCCTGTGCACAAATTTTATGCACCAGGTCTCTAGTGAAATAATAATATTTAAGAGAAAAACATTACAAATTTTAATAAAGTGAATTTGTTTTCCCACTAAGTATATTATTTTCAGGTTTTTTTTTTTTGGTCGTTTCCTCCTACAGTTTAAATAATAAGGAAAATTGTAATCTCATAATGGAGAGTTCAAAATAACCACATTTTAAATTTTTATGTACATATTGAAGAATGACCTAGAGAAAATAGAAATCTAAAGTTTCCTGTATATTGCTGCCAGTTATCCTTTTATTTATTCTCTATCAGTGTGGGCTTCCATATGTGGAGGTGCTGTGTAAAAATCGGTATGTAGGAAGAACCTTCATTCAGCCAAACATGAGGCTAAGACAACTTGGTGTTGCAAAAAAATTTGGAGTATTGTCGGACAACTTTAAAGGCAAAAGAATTGTTCTTATAGATGATTCAATTGTGAGAGGCAATACCATCTCACCCATAATCAAATTGCTGAAAGAATCTGGTGCAAAAGAGGTAAGTAAAATTAAAACATCCAAAACCACCAATAGTTAATAATATAGTACTGGCATAGAATTTTCAAATCAGGACAGTGAGTGAAAATGCATAGTTCATTATAGTAAGTTGACATTTTTCTAATTATGTGTGTTTAGGAATAACTGTAGCAATGTGGAAAATATGTAATGACCACTCTCAAGCTACATACTAATTTAATCCTTAATACATTAAAAAGCTCAATATAGCCCTAGCCAGTTTGGCTCAGTGGATAGAGTGTCAGCCCATGGACTGAAGGGTTCTGGGTTCATTTCTGGTCAAGGGCACTTGCCTGGGTTGCGGGCTCAATCCCCAGTAGGGGGTGTGCAGGAAGCAGCCAATCAATGATTCTCATCATTGATGTTTCTATCTCTCTCCCTTCCGCTCTGAAATTAATAAAAATATTTTTTTAATTGTAATTAAAAAGCTGACAAAAGCCACATGGGAATGGGGGGATGAGGACAATTATGTGATACTATAATCAATAAAGAAATAAAAAAAAATTTTTTAAAGCCACCCAATAGAGTACTTTTTAAATTTTTACAGTAATGGTTACTTTCTTTTTTGAAGATGTAGAACAAACCCTAGTGATACACTAGTTTTTATTTTTAAATCTCAAAGCTTATTCTAACTCTCAATATTTCAGTAATTCAAATGACAGAAATGAGATATCAACTAAAAATAAAATCTATTGTAGAAGAAAGCAAGTATAAGAAGCAGTATTACAGTATAATTAGAGAGCTTCCAAGATAATTGTGATTTTCAATCTTTTTTTATGACTGATTATGATTATGATAATCTGGAATTCTATAAAAATTTTATATAAGAAAAACAGGTATAAAATAAATTCAACACCTATTACAGTAGTAAAAAAGAATGGACAATACGAAAGAAGTAACAATGGCTTATATATATATAGGATGTGGCAAAATAGGTTTATAGTTGTGAGTACATGAAACACAAAGTTTATTCTGGTAGTATTATTAATTACTGTGTTATTTTCCACACTAATAACTAAACCTGCCTTTGCCCACCCTGTATATCTACCAGTAGGAAATAGTTTAGTAAATTGATACAGATGATGAAATATGATACAACCATTAAAAACTATAATGAAGACTGCATAACTTGGGAAAATATTTGCTGTTATAAGAATGGTAAAAATTTAATGTGGACACTAATTACAGCCATGCATATGTACATGATAAAAGGCAGAAAACAGTAAACAAAAATAGCTCTCTGTAGGTTTTTTGTTAAACCCTGATAGTTGGTTATTTTTCTTTTTAAAAAAGTAAAGTAAGAGGTGGGCAAAAGGGCCATTTAAATGATACAAGAGAAAAATGGAGGTATTCCTAGGAAAATAAAGTCAGTAAGTGATGAGAAATGGGAGAACATAATAAAGAAATGTCCTCAACAGGTGACAGATAAAAAAAATGAGAAGCTCTATAAAAGGAATCCTTCTTTATGGGGGTCTGACATTTTGAAATTCTTGTCCAAGAAATGTTGGAATCTAGATCAGGGCTATTCACGAGGGATTCTTTGGTAATGAATAGACTCTAAAAGTAGTTCTGACTATTCTGTAGGTATATCACATGATTTTCTAGGATTCCTTTTGTCTAGTATTCAGTGAAAGAAATTTTGTAGTTTGTGGCCCTGGCTGGATAGTTCAGTTGGATGGAGCAGCATTCCCGTATGTCAGAGTTGTGGGCTCAATTACCAGTTAGGGCAGAGTGAATCAACCAATGAATGCATACATGAGTAGAACAACAAAAGTTGATGTCCCTCTCTCTCTTTGTCTCTCTCTCTCTTTCTCTCTCTCTCAAATCAATAAATTAAAATTTTTACATTTTGCTTCATTTCATATATGTGTTATTAAATACTCTGTGGAACAATTTTATGTTACATTTGTCAGTGAAAGAATTTTGCGTAATTGTCTTACAATTAATGCTAAAATAATGAATGTGTGCTATTATTTCTTTCCAAGGTACACGTTCGAGTAGCTTCACCACCAATAAAATATCCATGCTTCATGGGAATAAACATACCAACAAAAGAAGAGCTTATTGCTAATAAACCAGAATTTGAACATCTTGCTGAATATCTAGGTAGCTATTAAAGTTTCTATAAACTTTATATTTATTCATTTATTAACAAAATCCAAAGCTTACCAATCTTACTAAAAGAGCATTAAATATTTGTTAGAAGTAGAGGTTGTGTATGTTGAGCAGATATTGAACACTACTCTGAATAGTGAGGGTGCTGGGTGTGTATTTACACCATCGTGAGTGCTGTGTAGGAGAGTTAGGTCAAGGTGAGGTGAGAAAAAAAAGGGGGCGGGGATGAAAGGCTTTCCAGATAGAGGAAACTGCATGCATATCAGTTAAACCTCCCAGTCAGATCCCAAGGGGAAAAAAAACACACACGATTTCACCACAGATTCTAGTAGAAAAACTTGAATGTGGATACAAACAGAATGAACAACTTATGTAGGTTTATCCTATCTAAAAAGAGGGATTATGCAAATTGAACATCACGCCATAACAAGATGGATGCGCCCATAGTGGAGGCAGGTATTCTTTAACACAAGATGGCTGTGCTCACAGCAGAGGCCAAGTTCCCATAACAAGCCTTAATGAGCAATCAGCAAGGACCTGAGATTGTGTGGTGCTGGGTTGGGACAGGGGACCTGAGGCTATGCCCCCCATCTGGTGGGGCTTGACGGGGTCCTCAAGGCATGCCTTTCGCCCCTCTCGGGCTGGGGGACCTCAGGTGGCTCCCTCCACCCCAGTGCTGGTTCAGGCAACCTGAGGCCACGCCCCCCACCTGGCAGGGCTTGGTGGGGATGGGGCCAGCTGGTTCTGGATCTAGCCCAGTGGATGTGGGGTTGGCCAGATCTGGGGTTTCACACGATTTCCAGGTGCATGTGGGTGAACGGGGAGTTGATTCTGGTTCCCCTGGCGTACCCAGATTCTGACAGGAGGAAGATTTTCATACACATTTTACTAGTGTTCTTTCATCTCTGACACTTCCATTATAGAGAAAGGGCAAATAGCAATATTTAAATATCTCCTCTAATTAATTCCCTTTTAATGTGCACGAATTTTGTTTACCGAGTCACAGCCTTTAACAATGAAGTCAGGAGACTTGGAGATCTATGTTACCCTGGATAAGACATTTGCTTTCTTAATTTAGGTGAGGTATAAACTATTTAAGCAGCTCATAGTTGTTCAGCCTGTGCCTTGGTACCTGCCTCCACACTTGTTTATAGCTGGTGTTCCTTTATGCCCTGACCACATATTGAACTGGCAACCTTGGTATGTAAAGACCATGCTCTAACCACTTGACATAACCAGTCGGGGCCAGTTCTTACTTTCCAAAAGAAGTCTCATTCCTTTTTCTTTTTCCCTCTTTCCCCCTCTAGGAGCAAACAGTGTTGTATATCTGTCAGTAGAAGGACTGGTTTCATCAGTACAAGAAGGGATGACATTTAAAAAAAAACAGAAAGTGGGGAAGCAAGATATTATGATTCAAGAAAATGGGAATGGTGTGGAATGCTTTGAAAAGAACGGCCATTGTACAGCTTGTCTCACTGGAAAATACCCTGTGGAACTGGATTGGTAGCTGGTAGGGGCAGATACAATGCTTCAAGATATGAAGTTGGTTAAGATGTTACAGTGGTTATACCTTATCCATATAGTATTCCTCAGTTGGTACAATGTAAATGCCACATGGTTACGTTTAAGTTTTTGAGATGTTTTGTTTTTCCTGAAAAGGGTACCAAAGTGCTATGCTCTCTTTAATAAACCTAGATAAATATTTTGGTGTTATCTAGGAACTTGGATAATCCTTCCAGTTTTACTTCGTTATTTAGTACTTTGAGGCTATCAGTTTTGAGATCATCAACAGTAATATGAAGGATGGGTACATTTTCTGTTTTAGAGGGGATTTCCAGGTACTATATACCTTTCCACAAATTCTTACAGAGTTTTGTGGCATGTTTCTTGAGAGTTACTAAAGTTCGTTATGGAATATTTTCATAATTGAACCTTGCTAGTTGCAGATAATACAACAATATTGGTATTCTTTTTTAAAAAAATATACATATTTTATTGATTTTTTACAGAGAGGAAGGGAGAGGGATAGAGAGCTAGAAACATCAGTGAGAGAGAGACATTGATCAGCTGCCTCCTTCACACCCCCCACTGGGAATTTGCCCACAACCAAGGCACATGCCCCTGACTGGAATTGAACCCGGGACCCCTCAATCCAAAGACCAACGCTTATCCACTGAGCCAAACCGGTTCCGGCTGGTATTCTTTTTTTAACACAAGCATAAGCTCCATTTTCACCTGGTCAAAGAGGGCAGGTGGTAAGAGGCATTTGCCAGATCCATGCTTCAATGAGTTTGCAAGCAGTTAGACTAAGACGGTGTGATACAAACAGGACAAGTAAGTTAAATATAATATTTCATGCAAATTTTTCATCTATTATAGCCCAGCGGTGTCAAGCCTCTAGAGTTCTGATTATAGTTATGACCTTGGCTTCCCTGTCTAACTTTAGACAATTTTTTTTAATGCTTTTTTTGTGCCTCACTTTTCTCAACCTGTGCAATGGGGCACTGGCATTAACTATTTAAATAATTAATAGGAATGTGAATGTGTCATATTCTTGGTGGGTAGAGCCATCATTTCATACCTATATTTAAGGTATTGCATGATTATTATTTTTTGAAATGTTGGCTGTTAGATTGTAATTGAGATTTCATTATGATGAAGGGAGATTACAGTTTAGTCGTATTTTGCCGCCTGCCTTTGAGATATCCTAAGAATGATTGTAAAAATATGTGGAAAAAGTTTGACTAGAAATTGTGATCTATACTACTTAGTGTTCTGATAGTATAAAGCCCAGCAAGGAACTTTGTGCGTTTGAATTAAATTTTAGGTTCTAATAAACCTTTAATTCTTACTTGATCACTTGCATATATACACCTATATGTATATACACATTCATGTCATTGCAATTAAATGATCAAGTAGAACTGTAGGGACCAATTTTATTAAAGGAACAAGAAGCCAACTACTTTTTTGGAATTAGCATGCTCATCTAATTCCAAACATCAACTTACCACTTTTTGTACTTAGTTTTAGTGGGACTAATGAATTTGATTTTTTCTAAGGTGTTTTTTTTTTTTTTCTTGTTACATCTGAGATTTAAAATTTTAAGACAACTTGCCTCCAATTCCTATTTTTGTAAGATTTTTAAAACATAAGAGTGTTCTGTGTTATTGTTACCGTAATTTTGATGTATATTGTTCCCAAATCCATTTGGAAATTTAATATTTATTAGTAACAAATCTCTTTCGGTATGTAGTCTCACATGGTGTATTATGGTAGGCCAAGAAAAAGTCCTGATGGCTCTTTAAGATGAAGAGCAGCAATGGGTCAGTGTGGCAGTGACACAAGCAAGCTACATTTAAATAAAATGTAAGATCCAGGCAGCAATGGGTCAGTGTGGCAGTGACACAAGCAAGCTACATTTAAATAAAACCCTGGGACCATTTAAACGTAAGCCTCTTGTCTTAAATGTATTCCTCATAGCATTATTGAGGAGGCAAGACTTATGGGTCAATTTTGAACAGCCTTACTTACATTTGGTTTTTAAAGACGAGTCTCAGGGAAAGTGCTAAACCAAAATCTCTTATTTGACTTCTGTGTTTTCCATAGTCTTTGTTTTATTGAAATGCTTTTATAATGAAATAATGTACTGTGACAGTTTGGTAATTTTCCAAATTTCTTAATGTTTCTCTATCATGGCCTTTTATTTCACAAGTTTTTGACGTCTGAATTACGTGTTGTTGTTTTTTTGTTTGTTTTTTTTACCAATTTAATCTGAAATGTTTAACTGTTTTAAAGTTATACGAGTATTGTAAACTTCAGAGAAGATGAAAAATGTGTCTTCACAGATCTATATTGTTGTGAACTGAGCTAAGTACTTTTTTGTGACTTCATTGTGATGTGTTGGTGAAAATATATGTAATTAAATATGTTTAAATGTGTGTGTACTTTTTTATTATTTCTTGTTAATCCTCACTCGAGGATATTTCTCCATTGATTTTTAGAGAGAGCAGATCAGAGGGAAAGACAGAAAAACATAGATGGGAGAGGAACACATGGGTTAGTTGCCTCTTGCATGAGCCCCAACGAGGCGCTAGGGAGGAGCCTGCAGCCTTGACCAGAATCCAACCCGGGTTCTTGTGGACCACAGGCCGACGTGCTATCCACTGAGCCAACCCAGTTAGGGCTGTGTGTGTGCTTTGGGGGGAAAAAAAAAAAAAAAAAAAAATATATATATATATATATATATATATATATATATATATATATATATATATATATAGTGACTTATATATAGTGACTTTTAGTTCAGGTGGTTGGAGCATCATCCTGTTCAAAAAAAAAAAAAAAAAAAAATTCCTGATCAGGAGACATACCTTAGTTGTGGGTTCTATCTGGTTGGGGCCTGTGAAGGAAGCTAATGATTGATGTTTCTACAGCAGTGGTTCTCAACCCACAGGTTGAGAACCGCTAGCAGGGTCACCTAAGACCATCCGAAAACACAGATACGATTCATTAACAGTAGCAAAATTACAGTTATGAAGTAGCAACGAATGGGTAAATTAACGTGCAAGACTTGAAGGAACACTTTGAGTGAAAGATCCCCAGAGGGAGACCCTCACTCTGTCCCACGGATCGAAGGCGACCCCAATCAACCGCAGGAGGCGTCACTTGATGCAAACTGCAAGAGGCTTTATTCCAGCGCCCTGGGGCTCAAACTCATAACTCACGCAGGAGCAGAGGAGTCGAGCCCCGAGCAGAAAATCTCACAAGCTTATAAAGGCAAAAACCACACATCGGGAGGGGTCACACACGGAGGGGAGAGGAGGAGAAAGGCCGTTAGGACATTCCAAAGGGGTTAGGACATTTCAAAGGAGTCTGGACTCCTTGATAACAGGTTTTATGACAGTGCTTAAGCCTTGTCAACAGTCCGATCTGGTAATCTTATATCCTGTTTTTCTTAACTATCAGAGTCCTGTGTTGCTTTGTTAGCCCTTAGCTCGGGGCTGTTTCCTGGAACAGTCTTAAAGGTTATGTTCCCATCACTAGCTAGGGACCTTGGGGGTTGAGATAAAACAGACAAGTTTTAGACATTTTATTCTTTCATTAGGAGATGATGTTTAAGCTGTGTTTTCTGAGGAGTTAATGTTCAAGCAGGCCTAGGAAAACAAAGGGCATTTCAGCCTGAGATCCAGCCAAAGCACAGGTGTGGAAACTTGATAGGGGGCTGGAATGCCCAGAAGACTTCCTAGAGTCTCATTACAGCTGCAGCTGGTGTGGCTAGTGTGGAAGATGGGGGTTGAAGAGCTGTGGTCCACTGAGAGAACAAGCTAGGAAGATAATGATTCCTTTTGTTTGCCTTGCTAGAGAGGCTGAAAGTCATGCAGGCAATGAGCGACCACTGAAGCTTCTTAAGCAGAGAATACTGTTTTAGAATAATCACCCTAGGTTACCGGGTAGTGTCTTGAGCATAGTCTTATACATTTTCAGAACCCCTGGAAAAATGGTAGAATATATATATATATATATATATATATATATATATATATATATATATATATATATATATCTCAGAGAGGAAGGCAGACAGAAACATCAATGATGAGAGAGCACCGTCAATCAGCTGTCTCCTGCTGGGGATCAAGCCCTCAACCTGGGCATGTGCCCTTGACTGGAATCAAACCCAGGATCCTTCAGTCTGCAGGCTGATGCTCTATCCGCTGAGCCAAACCGGCAAAGGCAGAATAGATATTTTTAGTCATAAAATCTCAAGTATAGAGGAAAAGATAACAAAAAACTTTTAAAAATATATTTTATTGATTTTTAACAGAGATGAAGAGAGTTAGAAACATAGATGAGACAGAAACCAAATCAACTGCCTTTTGCACATCCCTTACTGAGGATGTGCCTGCAACCAAGGTACATGCCCTTGACCGGAATTGAACCTGGGAGTTTGAGTCCACAAGTCGACGCTCTATCCATTGAGCCAAACCGGTCAGGGCAATAGAAAAATTCTTGACTCAAAAGCCAAGGGCCCAACTTATTTGGCAAAAGCTAAATTCTAAACCAGCAGTGACCAAAGCCAATAAGAAACCCTACTTACGTCACGGGAACCCTTAACTCAGAAACTGGCCTCTGGAACCTCCAGGCCTTTCCTCACTTGATATTCAAACTTGTCTCCTGGGAGCTTCCAATCAGCTTTTTTTTTTTTCCCTTTTTTTTCCTTAAATGAATTTTATTGATTTTCCACAGAAGGGAGAAGCTGCCTCCTGCACACCCCCCCAATGTATATATGTCCTTGACCAGGATTGAACTCGGGACCTTTCAATCCACAGACCTACGCTCTGACCACTGAGCTAAACCAACCAGCTCCTAAATGTCCCAAGCTGCTCACCTCCCATGTCCTCGCCGACAGTTCAAAACCCCCGCAGGGCCACCGCAAGCTCTCCTGTGATTGGCTCCGACGTTTCCGAAAGGGGCGGGGCGACGCCGTCTGCTCGCGTCGCT